TGGACAGGCTGGAGACGCTCCGTGCGTTGGCGTCATCGCTGTCATAGCACGTCATCTCCAGGGAGCTGCAAGGACAGGCAGGCAGGGAGTCAGGGCAGGGCACAGGGGGCAGGGGAGATCTGTGCCCTGCCTCACGCCCCCAGAACTGAGTCTGCAAGTGCTCACATGCCAAAACTGCCCATTTTGAGGCAGCCAGGCAAGGCCAGAGGCTCCCAGGACTGTGGTTTCAGGGGCACTGTCTGTCCTGGACCATCTCCATCCCAGACAGCAAGGGACAGTCCCCTCCTTCCCTGCCCAGTGCCACCCCAGTGTCCCACAGTCCAGGACACCAAGCACACCACAGTGTTCAGTGATGCCCATGTCTCCCCAGGGACCGTGGGATAGGACATGGGATGTGATGGGGGCTCTGTGCTCAAGTCAATCTACAAAAGCAACACCCTACCACAGCCCTGCCCACCCACCTCAGAGCAGGGACTGGTGGCAAACACACCTGGGAAAGGGATCAGCACCATTCTGGAGACTGGCTCCAGCCCCAAAATCCTGCTGTGCTGAACTCATCTAACAGGGCACCTTTAGTGGAAAGCCTGAACATGCTCCCCTGTGTCTGGGCTGCTTCTGCTCAGCCACTTCTCCCCCAGCACTTCAACATCTGCACCTCAAGATCACACCAGATCCAGGACAGGACAAGCTGGGGTGGTGGCACTGATTCCAGGGAATGTGACAGTGGGCCAGGGAGTGGAGGCTGTGAGTGAAAGGATGCTGAGGGACAGACCTGGGACCAGTCCCTGCAGCAGCACCTCACACTGAACCCCTGCAGACTGAACCCCCAACATCTGGGCAGGAAAGATGACCCCAAGAGAGGGCTGCTCACAAGCTCAGTGCTCTGCAGGCAGCCCAGAGAGCCCACAAGCACTTCAGAAATGGGGAGTTCCGTCACTCCCTGTGCCTCTCAGGGTGTATTTTGGGCAAACAGTGATTCTAAAACTAAATTTAGCCACGAGAAACTATTACTTCTTGGAGCAGCTCCTTGGGAACCCACAGCCCTCAAATTGGCTCCAAACACTACTATCAGTAAATTATTCCCTAGCTTCGATTAAAGGTTCCTGCAGGAGCACCCAAAGCCAAACCCAGGCTGCAGCATTGAATCTAAAACAGGGAACTACATTTAAAAAAACAAGGAAGTTTGTTAAAACGGAACTAAAAGAGTTTTGTTTTTGTCGGCAGCACAAAGGCTGTTTGAGGATGTGCTCCCAGCAGCTCAGAGCAGATGCCAACCATGTCTCTGAGCAGGAGGAACAGAAGCTTCACCTCAAATCCTGGGTTCACTTCTGGGCCCCTCATGACAAGAAAGACATTGAGAGGCTGGAGCATGTCCAGAAAAGGGCAACAGGGCTGGGGAGGTGTCTGGAGCACCAGGAGCAGCTGAGGGAGCTGGGGGGCTCAGCCTGGAGAAAAGAAGGCTCAGGAGGGACTTTCTGGCTCTCCACAACTCTCTGACAGGAGGGGGGAGCTGGGGAGGAGTTGGGCTCTGCTCCCTGGGAACAGGGACAGGAAAAGAGGAAACAGCCTCAAGTTGTGCCAAGGGAGATTTAGGTTGGATATTGGAGAAAATTTCTTTCCTGAAAGGGTGGTCAGGCACTGGCACAGGCTGCCCAGGGCAGTGGTGGAGTTACCGTCCTTGGAAGTGTTTAAAAAACCTGTGGATGTGGCTCCTGGGAACATGGTGTAATGATGAACATGGCAGTGCTGGGGATATGGTTGGACTTGATGATCTTAGAAACTTTCTCCAAGTGTCCTCCAAGTGTCCACTGAGTATCCTCAGTGACTCTGTGATTTCATGATTCTCTAAGCCCCAAGGACATTCATACAGCCCTGCTGCCAGGAGTATGGTGACATCTTTCAGAAATAACACTGTGCTCTAACAAGGGAACAGCAAAGACTGAGCCCTCAGCCACTGGATGGAAGAACACAGTGAGGGTAACAAGAGAAATTTCAGGAATGAATAAAGAGAGAGCCCAAAGCAGCTACAGGACAGCAGAAAAACACCCAGAGGACTTGCAGATGACATCTGCATTGGGCAGACTTGTAGGAAGTGTTCCCAAGAGCAGAATGAGTGGGTACGTGTGTAATTACAACGTACCAGGGAAGAGCTGACACAGCTTTGGGAAAGGAAAATCTGGCTCCCCGCCGCAGAGGAGCTCCTGGAGGGAAGCAGGGAGCTGCCGAGGCTGCTCTGGGCTACTGGAATAAAAAAAGCTTCCAAAGAAATTCAGCTGTCATGGGATAAGAGGGAAGAGCTTCACATGTTTAAGTCCTGCTGAAAGGGACAGAGAGGAGGGGTAGGGATCCCTGGGCTATCCATAGCCATTTTTCTCCACGGCAGGAATGCAGCTGAGGCATCCACCATGTGATATACTCACAGCTCATCAAGGAAAGGAAGTGATAGTGAACAGTCAAATCCCACCAGCAATGCTAATTTAATCACCCTTAATGTCCTCGCCCTATTTTCCTAAGACCTGAGCTGAGAAGGATTCCTGAAGGAGCTGAGTGCTGGGGTGAGGAGGGGGGTGGAGTTTGACACTTCTCATTTGATGAAAGCAAAATGAACACAACGCAGCCCTGGCTTGGCATGAGCAGTGCTGGGCTCTGACCCAGCTCCTGCACCGAGCAAAGGGATGGCAGAGCTGTAATGGATCATTTCAGGAAATGGCCAGCTCAGAAAATATTGCCATGGCCCCATGCAAATCCCACTGCCACAGCTCTCTGCTGCTCCTGGCTTGGAAAACATCCAGGAACAGCAGCAAGGGTGAGCTGGGTCTCCAAGGTCTAGAAATTTCAGGTGATGAAGAGGGAGACCAAAGGGCTGCTTCATCATGGACAAGGCTGCTTGAGGACTGACACGGGAAGGTCTGTCATGGTGAATGGTGGGTGAAAGGTGGGAGGAAGCTGCTGCTTTTTGTCCCTTCCAAGACAAAAAGCAGGATCGAGAGAGACCACGAGGTGGCAACACACTCCAGGAGGAGAATGTACCCGGCAAACACCCAGATAACCTTGCAAATCCAGAGTGAAGCAGAAACCATGCAAGATCTCAAGTGAGTGACCCAGGGGTACACAGGCAATCCCAGACGTGTGTCAGAGCCCCCTAAACGCAGACACTGTGCCCTGGCTGTCCATGCAGTGCTCACCCTGTCCCCATCCCCACCATTCCCTCGCTCCACCCTGGGCAGGGCACCCCAGGGCATCCCCACCTCTGCTCCTGGGCTCTGGCTGAGAGTTCCTCCATCATCACCCTACACAGAGCAGAAAAACTAAGTCACAGACAAGGATGGAGCCTCTGGAGCAAACTGGGGTGGGTACAGGTGATATATTGACCTCTGGTGGTCCATTCAGGGTCACCTGACCACTGGGAACAGACCTCACCCCCTCTCTCTGCTCTGTCAGCTCCCCTCACTGCCACCACTCCCCAGCCTTTACTGTCCCAGAGCACTTTAGGGGACAGGACTCTGCTGCAGCACCATGGACACCCCACGGGTTTGGGGGCTTCTCTCCAAGCCTCCATGCACAGGGTCCCCAGGTCACAAAGCACTGGTGATTCCCTCCCACCCACAGGGCCCTCACCAGGAGCAGAGCTGCTTCCCATCTGCCCCAGGAAGGACACTGACTGTGGGGAAGGGGCTGGGGGGGGGTCTGGTGAGAGGCTGGGTCCTCACCTGTGAGACACCTGAGAGCCCCTTAGGCTGGACATGGTCTCCTCCAGGTTCTGACGCAGGTCCAGCACATTCTGCACTGTCCTCTTCCTCTGGGACTCAGGGTCTGTGGAGAGACAAAGTGAAGGCTTTAAAGGGATGGATGGATGGATGGATGGATGGATGGATGGATGGATGGATGGATGGATGGATGGATGGATGGATGGAGCACCCCCCTGCCCATGGCCATGACCAACAGCCCTGGCTCTGCCCATCAGGAAGGAACAGGGCAAGTCTGGCACCAGGCTCGAGCTGCACCACCCTGGAATGCCACTCCCAAGCATGCAGCTGGAATGGTGATGTCCAGTCCAGAAAGGATGAGCTGGCAGAGACCAAGTGGGGCCACAGGACCCACACAGGTGACAGGATGAGCAGTCCTGGAACAATGTCTCCAAACCTGCCCTGCATCCCTCAGGCCCCAGGGGTGCTCCAGCTTGGGAACATGAGTGCTGGAGCAGCATCACTTGGTGTGCAGGCAGTGGGACCGAGGGGATGTCAGGGGGTGGAGGACACTGAGCCCCACTCACAAAGGAGTGGCTGCTCCTGTGCAGGGCTGGAGCAGCTGGAGCCCCCACAGGCACAGCCCAGAGCTGAGGATCCCCAAGCTCTGTCTGCCCTGGGACCTCTCCAGGTGTACACACCCATGGCATGGGTGTGTTACACACACACACACACAGAGCCATGCACACGAGCACAGGCATTTGCCCACATCACAACCACTTGTGCACATGTGCAGATATACACAGGCACCTCCACAAACACGTACATCCACCTGCACACACAAAGGTGTGCACCCTGCCCAGAGACACCTGCACAGATGTGTGAGAACACAGACACCTGCACAGAGGAGGGGTCACTCCTGGCACGGCCCCAGCAGTGCTGTGGGCTCAGGGCCATGGCTCCAGCCCCAGGTCCCTGTCCTGTGCACGTGCACCCTGGGCACCAACAGCCCACACAAACACTGCGGCGTTGATCCCTGATTTCAGCCTTTCAGCTGCAGCCTGCCACGGATCTGCAGTGACAGCAGGCGTCAGGGACATGGGATGTGGCTCCTCCTAATGTAACGTGGCAACCAGCGCTTCAGGATTTGCAACAGCACCAGCACCATGTGAACTGCAGGGACAGGGGGATGGGGGACACTGACAGGAGACAGCCCAGTGCAGGGATGGGAGATGGGGGACACTGCCAGCACACACCCAAGGGATGGGAGATGGGGGACACTGCCAGCACACAGCCCAGTGCAGGCACAGGGCTATGGGGGACACTGCTAGCACACAGCCCAGTGCAGGGACATGAGGATGGGGGACACCACCAGCACCCATCTGAGCAGCTCCCCACCAAGGCACAGCCACATGCCAGTGCTTGAGTAGAGCTCCTTGTGTGTTCCTTGTCCCCATCACGCTCTGGCCACACCTCAGGCAGCACCCACAAGTTCTGCCCCGTCCCCAGGCTCCCCTTGCCCCCCTGCCTGGGCAGGAGCACCTCAGACCAGTGAAGCAGCCCTGATTCATGCATGAAGGGGGTGACAGGCAGGAACAGCCCGATGAGACGGGTTCAATGAAGCAGGTTAAAGTCAGTTGTAGATGAGGTAAAAGGGCTGGTGAGCCCACAGGGCACCCAGCGTGGCCAGCCACATCCGAACACAGGACACCCATCCCTGCATGTGTCCAATCACCCCAGTCCAGCTCCCAGAACCTGGCTCAGCAGGATACCAGTCATTATTAACTCATTATTAAATCACCATTGCAGATTTTGGAGGAGTTAAAGGCACAGAAGCTCCAAGTGCATGTTCAATGGCACTGACCCACATCCCCAGCTGCATTCATTGCCCCGGTGGAGGAATTAATCAAAGGCACAGAAACTCCAAGTGGTCCCCAGAAAAAGGGGATGGGGATGCACAGGCAGTACAGGATGGAGCTGAGGTGGCTGCACACAGGGAACAGGGTGCAGGAGAGGTTCGAGAGGCCCTCAGTTCTGAAGGGTGGCACCCACCTTGCTCTGCAGCCAGGGACAAGGGGAGACACCATGCCTGTCTGGTGGGGCAAGAAAGGATTGTGTTGGCACCTCAAAGCTGCAAGGTCCTGCCCTCAAGTTGCCTGCAAAGATGGATTTTCAGGCTTGACACGGCAGGGCAGGAACCTGTGGCCAGGTCCCTGGCTGTCACACTGCAGTGTGTAGGGCAATGGGAGATTTGAGCCCTTGAAACTCAGGGAACAGCAATACAAAACCCACCAGTGTCCCCAGGCGAGTCTCCATGCAGGAAAGGACTTGGCACCTTCAGCTCCTTCACCCTGCCCCATTCAGTGCGTGCTGTCACCCACACCCAGCCCCTGCAGCCAGAGAAGGTGGCACACACACCCTGGCAGTGCCACATCCCTGCGCACTGGGCCAGGACCGAGTGGGACAGGATGGAGAGTCACTGTTGTCCCCTGGCGCCGGCAGGGCTCCCACACTGCCAGCTCGGCAGCGTGCTCCTCCCGGGCATGGCTCCCTCCCAGAGCCCCGTCTGCCTCCCCCAGGGCCACCCGCAGCCATTGCCCGGGCACAGAGCCAGCACGGGCCTGGCGCTGCCTCCTCCCCGGGCGCCGCTGCCAGCGGGGCTGCTCCGGCCATGCCAGCCCCAGGAGCAGCGGGGCGAGCCTGCCTGTGTCCCCAGCTGCCCTGGCTGAGGGGCCAGCACAGGGACACCACCTCCCTGCACTCCTCTGCTGCTGGACCACCAGTGGCAACAAGCAGCATCAGGGACAGGAGTTCCAGGGCAATGACACCGACCCACATCCCCAGCTTCAACCACTGCCTGGATGAGATCACCCCAGTTCTTGGGTGACAGTTCAGGTCACTCTAGACTCAAGGAAAAGCAGCAGCTCTCACCCTGGAAAGGGCCAAACTGGAACTGGAAGAGCTGCTCACTCACCTCTGGCACACAGCCTGCTGCTAACACTGAAGTGCCACCATCTGCCCCCACGGTGCTGTCCTGGTGGTGACACAGGGACTCCTGCAGCTCCCTCCTCCCCAGGGGCAGCGAGGGGCCAGGGGCTGGCTCAGAGCTCACCGAGTCACCGCGTGCCAGAGTTGAGTCGAAACTGGAGCCACTGGGAGAGGCTGAAGTGTGGGAACAGCAGGGAAGCTCTGGATTCCTCCCCACATCGATTTAGCAAGCTTGTGCAGCCAGATGTTTCCAGCTGCTGGAGCATGGAGCAGCAGAGAAGGCTCAGCCCATGCCGTGGCAGGGTCAGTCAGACACCCAGCCCAGGCCAGGCTCAGTTTCCCAGCAGCCATGGCTGGGATGTGTTCTGCAGCATTCCCCACTCCACTGGAGCTGCAGGCTCAGGGACTGATGTCTCCCTGCCCCAGCCCCAGGCTGGCCTGCAGCCCCTCAGCAGATCCCACTGCTCTCACAGGCTCTGACCATCCTGCTGTTACAGAGGGAAGGAAGGGAGTGCTGCCTCTGGCCCTTTGCTCCCTGTTCTGACCATGCACAGGGCAGCCATGAGATGCAGCCGCTGTCCCAGGCCCTGCACTGGGAGGTCACCAGAGCCCATTGCCCAAATCATTTGTCCCTGTGCCAGGCTGGCTCTCATTTGCCTATACTCTCTGCTGTGCTTGAGCAACTCTCACTCAGCTGAGAGCTCCCACTCAACACTCCTTTCTCAACTGAGCCCTTCAACATCAGCAAATATGACACAGCTCCACTTGGCACTCAAGGAAACTGAGGGAGGAAGCTTCAGCCCAGCCCCAACCACCCCCTGACCTGCAGCACTCCCTGGCATGGCGTCCAGCACTGACCACCACATTACACACACTCAGCAACCTGGCACTGTGGGCACCTGGCCCCGACCCACACAGTGCCCATCGCCCCCATCTCCTGCCTGCCAAGCTGGGGCAGCAGCAGGTACCACCACCACAAGAAGGAGCATCTGCAAGGTGGGATACAGAGGCAGCCAAGGAGGAAGAACAGGAGGAGGAAGAAGGAGAGAGCTGTGCTGGAATGGCTGGCTCAGGGCACAGCACTGTTTGCTGTGAGTCTGACTGATGGGCAGCACAGCACCATGGCTGGACAAGGCCGGGAGCTCCAGGCTGTGCTCATGTCCAGCTCTCCCTGCGCCTCCCAGAGCAAGCAGCAGCAGTTCCTTTGTCCGTGTGTCGGGGTGCAGCCCCGGCCCCGCAGCCGGGTGCTGCCGACGTGGCCAACTACGTCAAGGAATGAGGAAATAATCAACTCCAAATGGCTCTGACAGCTCATTTCAAAGAAGCATGTGGTCACCAGCTCCTGCTGGGGCGAGCAGGGCTGCATGCGTGGGACACGTGTGCCCCATGTGCCTTAGCACAGAAACTCGTGTGTGTGTGTGTGCGCGTGTGTGTGTGTGTGAGAGTGCTTGCATTGCATCATTCATGTGGGGGCCACATGGCAGCAATAGCCTGCAGAAAGATGCATGTGTGCAGGAGTATCACCTATGCCTGTGATCTTGCACGTGTCCATGTGTCCATATGCAGGCAGTGGGACAGCAGGACACGATACCAACCCTGGCAGCACAAGGGTGCCAGGCTTGCATGGGTGCACCGTCTGCACTCAGCATGAGCATGGCACTCACACCTGTGTTTTCTTGTGCCCTGTGACCCAACTGGTCTCATTTCAGAGGATCCAACTGGGAAAGGACTCCAGTTGGCCCAGTAAAGATTTCAACAGCAAGCAGGAATTCACCGGGAAAGGCTGCGTGGTGTTCCTGAGTCATTCCGGTGGGCCCCTATTACACAGTAGCTGTAACGAATTTCCCCAGGCTGGAAAACATTTCTAACTGCTTGCTCAATTCCTTCCAGTGCATTGAAAAATCCACTAATAAACTCTGTAATAAAACCCATTCTCACGGGGCTGTGAGCCTCCTCCGGCCCCGCTGCACTCCCTGGCTCCACGAACCCTCGAGCAGACTCACACTGCTCCCTCCATCTGCCCCAGCCCCTGCTCCCAGTCCTGCTTATGAATGAATCAGCACAGGCACTGTTTGGTTGGTATTTTTCTTGAAAACCTTCCACTCTGGCACTTGGAGATCACCCGAGGGAAACCCAACA